GGGCAGCCGCCAGGGGGGCGCCAACCCCGGGCTCCGGGAACCCCCCTCCCCGAGCTCCTCTCCCCGGGTCCCGCCGAGCGCCCGACGCCTCCCTCCTCCCCGCCTCTCCGGCTCCCTGCTAACCAAACGAGTTGAGAAAGTCCGCGATCTTCTTGATGCTGCAGGTGATGAGTTCAATGTATTCCCGGTTCGCCCAGTCCTGGTGGATCTCTCGCTGCACGGGATCCTCCTGTCCCGCCATGGCGGCCGCCTGAGGAAGAGCAACTGCGCGTGCGCCCTGCCTCCGCTGGCCGCCAGCGCGCCTGCGCCGTCGACCCACACCCTTCCCCGCAGGTCCGCCATTGTGCGGCTTTGTGGTGCGCAAGCGCGGTATCACCAGCGGTGTTCCTGGGAAAACAGATGCCTCCGCCCAGGCCGGGGAGGTGAGGTCGGAGTGCGCATGTGCCAGGCGCCGCACTCCCACGCCGGTTCCGGCTGTTCTGGAACTGAGGGGGCGCGTGCGCATCTGATGCCCCCACACAGTACCCAGCCGTGGTGCTTTGCCCCGTGGCTGAGATTGCTGAGATATATGTCACCAAGCCCTGCCACTGGTTGAGATGGAGCTTTACTAACCTCAAGCAAGCAACTATCTCCAGCTCTTTATTCTCCAAGTAACTGGGAAGACAGCCTGCGTTTTTCTTTCATTGCAGCTCTGCGTGTCATTAGAAGGAATACTAGCTCCTATAGTAAACCTGACTCCACACACACGCCTGCTATTTACCATGGGTCCTGTTTGTGCCTATTTTGTTTTTGCGAGTCGTGGGGCTTGAACTCAGGGCCTGGGCACTGTCTCTGAGCTTCTTTTGCTCAGCGCTAAGCCACTTAAGCCACAGTGCCACTGCCAGTCTTTTCTGATTATGTAGTGCTGAGGAATGGAACCCAGGGCTTCATGCATGCCAGGCAAGCACTCTACCACTGAGCCACATTCCCAGCCCATGTTTGCACTTTTTAGTGAGGTACATCTTTTCTTCTTCATAAGCAATCCAGCCCAGGTATTTTGCCGAAGGGATGCAAAGCTGTTTCTGATTCTGCTGTATATCAGATTTGGAGAGAACAGCAAATAGCATTTCCTGGAACACTCCCTTAGAACTGGACAGCTTGCACAGAGGACTGTGCGCAGAATGTCATAGAAGAATGTTAATCATATGATCTTGGAAGCTTTCATTTAAAGAAAGAATCCTTACCCAAAAAAAAAGTTTCATCTGCTTTTTAAATGACTAGTGTTATTTCTCCTTTTCAGGAGGAAAATAAAATTAGCTGGAGGAAATAAGTTTTGTAATTCAAAATCATTTCCCTCTGTTGTGTCAAGATTTTATGTTCCTCTCCACTTTCTGACTCCCCTCCAAACTCTTCCTACACTTCACCTGGGTGCACATGTACGCAACCGGCATAGGGCAAGTCCCTTAAGGTGATACTGGTCTCTCCAACCAGGACCCCAGCGCGACTCTATCCTCAGAACTTCTTCATCAGCTTTACCCAAGAACCAGACAAAAGGTGACAGCACTTACTGGTGTTGACAAAACTGGAAGGCCTGTAAGGGTTCTGGGAGAAAAGGACCTGTGGCCATTAACTCCACCCCCTACAACAGCTCCTCCCCACTCTGACAGCGCCTACACATCAACTCTCCCGCTCCCCAGCCCCTCCCACTCCCTAACGCCACTAAAATCTGCCCACACACAAACTACGCCCACAGGCCAACTCCTCCCACACTCTGCACCCACACGCCAACTCCTCCCACACGCCAGCTCCGCCCTCACACCAACTCCGCCCACACGCCAACTCCTCCCACACGCCAACTCCTCCCACACTCTGCACCCACACGCCAACTCCTCCCACATGCCAGCTCCGCCCTCATACCGACTCCGCCCACACACCAACTCCTCCTACACTCTGACTCCGCCCACCAACTCCACCCACATGCCAACTCCTCCCATATGCCAGCTCCGCCCTCACACCAACTCCACCCATGTGCCAACTCTTCCCATACTCCAACTCCGCCCACACGCCAACTCCTCCCATAACCAACTCCGCCCACATGCCAATTCCGCCCACATGCCAACTCCTCCTACACTCCGACTCCGCCCACACGCCAACGCCTCCCATACCCAACTCCGCCCACATGCCAACTCCTCCCACACTCCAGCTCCGCCCACACGCCAACTCCACCCACACGCCAACTCCGCCCACACTATCTCCTCCCACACATTAACTCTGCCCACAAATTAACTCTAGGATTGCTGAGGCCAGGCGCTGGGCACCCAGGCATCGGCTGTGTAAGCTGCTGCCCACCTCTCCCTCAGCCACCTAGGCTGACAAAAGTGTCAAACCGCTTTTTTCCTCATGGAGCTTGAATTCAGGGCCGGGGCACTCAAGGCCAGAGCTCAAGGCCCGAGCTCTACCACTTTGAGATATAGCTTCACATCTGCTTTTCTGGTTAACTGTAGGTATGAGTCTCTGGGAAGGTGGCTCAGTGGTAGAGCGCTTGCCTTGCATGCATGAGGCCCTGGGTTCGATTCCTCAGCACCACATATGCAGAAAAAGCCACAAGAGGCACTGTGGCTCAAGTGGTAGAGCGCTAGCCTTGAGCTGAAGAGCTGAGGGACAGCGCCCAGGCCTAGAGTTCAGGCCCCACAACTGGACCAAAAAAAAGTCTCACGGGACTTTTCTGCCCCGGCTGGCTTTGAACCTCGGTCCTCAGATCTCTGCCTCCTGAGTAGCTAGGATGACCAGCTGAGCCATCAGTGTCTGGCTTAAACCACATTTTTGATCCTTTTTTTTTTCAGCATTGTAAAATAGGATAAAATTACCCTTTTGAGGTTTAGCAAGATAAAGGTTTTCAGTCAGTTTATCTGGAATCACACTAACATCACAAGTCTTCCAAACTCTGGGTAACTCTCCTTGAACGGGAGCACGGGTGTACAAAATACAGACTAGCTCTTTTTTTGTGTGCGCAAATAGTTTTATCTGTACTCCAGAAATTCTATTGTACTTTATATGTTTACAGGCTCACGCCTGTAATCCTAGCTACTCAGGAGGCTGAGATCTGAGGATCGAGGTTCAAAGCCAGCCTGGGCAGGAAAGACCGTGAGACTCCTATTTCCAATAAACCACCAGAAAACCAGAAGTGGTGCTGTAGCTCAAGTGGTAGAGCGCTCGCCTTGAGCTGAAGAGCTGAGGGACAGCGCCCAGGCCCAGAGTTCAAGCCCCACGACCGACAAAAAAAAAAATGTAATTTTGAAGCATTTCAGAACAATATTTGCAATTACCTATATACAAGAGGTAGAGGTACTGGGTACCACTGGCATATTAGCATTCTGTGTTGAGGATCACTAAGGTTTGTGGAGGAATTAGTCACAAATGACATAGAAAATACTGTCATAGAGTTGATTTCATCATTTTCTGTTGCAGGAAGCCACTCCACCACAGACTAACTCTTAACACTGCTGTTTCCAGGACTTGTATACCTGTGGCCAGGTGGGAAGCTGGGGTGTCTTCCCTGCTCTAGTCAAAGAGATGATGGGGAGATTGGAGTGGGTAAGTCTTGAACCAGGGCTCCATCAGCCCGAGTGTTGGATCCGACGAGGCAGGGACAACAACAGGTGGACTCCTCACATCTTGGCTGGCTTCCCTTCTGGGTGGTCCTGAGTGGTCCCGCACCACCCTCTCTCGCGTGGCCCCGCCCCCGTCCCCGCCTCTCCCCCCCCCCGCCCGGTCCTGAATCACAAAGGCGGTTGCCAGGCACCGGTGGGGAGAAGATGAGGCCACCACTCTGGAGCGTGTGGCCCGCGCGGTGTTCAGCAGGTGAGCCTCTGGCCGGGATGGCGATGGTGGGCCTGGGCCCGGGCTCCCACCGCACTCCAGCCCCTCGGGATCTGCACCTTGGCGCTGCCTTCCCCTTTCCCAGGTGGGAAAATGGAGGGGCCTATGAAGGGGAAGCTCCCCCTCCCCCCAAAAAACCAGGTCCTCCTCATCTGAGAGCTATCACAGTTTAAACAGACTTGCTAGGTTCAGCCACGCCTGGAATGGGTGTGTGAACCTGGGAACGGGGAGAGGGGGCTGACACGTTTGCATTTTAACGTTGGGAGAGGCCATCTCACGCATGTCCATGTGGGCAGGACATCCCAACAGTCTCTTCACTGCTTCCTCTAGCCGAAGGGGGGGGGCGGGTCAAGAAAAGAATCTTGTGATTAAATACATTTTGGGGGGACATGAGTGTATGGGAGTCACTACTCTCCACCCCACCATGCCCTGGTGGAATAGTAAAGCCTAATCTTGGACGTATGCTAAGGTCATGATAGCAACCACCAAAAGCCTCTCATAGGCTATCCGGAATAGATAGCTCAGTTCCTCACTCTAAAGCTACCAAGATATTAGAACACAGAAATTTCCAAGGCACCTGCACAGATCATGAGAAACATGCCAGAGGTGGAAAAATCCACAAATCTCCTTTCTACTAACCACTGTCAGGTACACTTCGATTTTGAAATGTCACCAACAGTTCTGTTTTAAAAATGAACTTCACTGTCTCGCCGTGGTGGAGGTGCCAGCTTTTTAATGGTGACAAATCACAGGATGAGATGGGATCATATCCGCTGCTGTTGCCTTGTGTGGGAGAAGTGAAGAGGCATGGAGGAACATACTTGGCTGGAAAGAAAAGGGACTGGAAATGTGTCTGCACGTAATAGGGTGGGTAGGTGCTCAAAGCCATTAGCTTCAGAATTCAGTGAAACCCTTACATACTGAGAGTTTTAAAGTAGAATGATGGGAATACAACCTCTACTTGGATAGATTTTGAGTTAGTTATATTGTTCCAGACTTTTTCTTCAAAGAAAGAAAAAAAAAGCAGAGCTGAGGTGGATCATGGTTCAAAGCCAGTCTGAGAAAAATTTTTTCAAGACCCCTCTATCTCAACCAAAAAAAAGCTGAGGATGGATGTTGGTACATATGTCATCCCAGCTTCATGGGTGGTATAAAGGACAAGGATAACAGTCTAGGATGCCAGCCTAAGGCAAAAGAAAGGCACTATCTGAAAAATAAAGGGCTTGAATTGGTAAAATGTCTGCTAAGCAAGCAGAGGCCCACTGCAGTTGTGGGAGAGGGAGGCAGGGAGGGATACCAAGTACAAACCACTGGGTTTCTCATAGATTTTAAAACAAAACAACAATGAGTTAAAAACTCCCTTAGGCTAGGTACTGGTGGCTCATGTCTGTAAATCCTAGCTGCTCAGGAGCCTGAGAGCTGAGGATCTTGGTTCAAAGCCAATAGGGGAAAGAAAGTCTGTGGGACTCTCATCTCCAAGTAAGCATCAAAACAAAGCTGGAGGGGCTGGGAAGTTGGGTTCCTAGTAGAGTGCTTGCTTTGCATGCATGAGGCCCTGGGTTCCATGCCTCAGCACCACATAAGCAGAAAAAAAAGCCAGAAGTGGCGCTGTGGCTCCAGTGGTAGAGCGCTAGCCTTGAGCTGAAGAGCTGAGGGACAGCGCCCAGACCCCATGACTGGCAGAAAAAAAAAAAAAAAAGAACCACTGATGTGAGCTACAAAGAGAGAGGAACATGGACTTGCGGAGCTTCCTCTGACCTCAGATAGCTGGGTCTCATCAGACCCCCAGCAACCCCCGCCACCAGACATCAGGCCTGTTATAGAGCCCATTTCACATTAATTTCCTCCTCTGTACAATGAGTTAAAACCTCCCTCAGGCTTGTGAGGCCTCATGAAGTTTTAGTACGCTTTAAGTATTTGCCATACTCCACAACTACCGTAGCACCTCCTGGAATCTGTTCCGTGGGAACCACAAAGTAAGTCTGCATCATATATGAGACAGGAGATAAATGGTCATATCCACGCCCTGACCCAAAGCACCGCAGGGAAATGTCATGTGTGATTCTTTTCCTCTAGGACTGTCAATGGCAGGATACCAGCTGTGGTCACCATGGACCCCACTGGACGAGAGCTTCCAATGGCTGCGGCACACGACACCCACCCCTTCCTCCAAGCACCCCTTTAAAGCCTCCCCTTGCTTTGCACACACCCCTTCTGACCTGGAAGTGCAGCTGTGCTTTCAAGAGGTCACTCTAGTGCTAGACACCCCGTTCCTGGAAGCTGGAGTCAGTCCCAAGTTACCCTGCCACACATCAGAGCTCCGAATCATCAACAGCAAGAAAGGCCTGGTGAGGAAGCCCCAGCCCGTCCGCCTCAGTGGAGTGGATTCTGTCTTTGGCAGGGTCATCACGGCTCAGCCACCCAAGTGGACGGGGACCTTCAGGGTCTCAGACAAGTCAGCCTTCTGCAAAATCATCAGCAGGGAGCATCAGTGGCCCACTGGCCTCAAGGAGCCTCAGATCCAGATGACAGTGACGATGTGCAAACAGATGCTGCGTTCTATCCTCTTGCTGTATGCAACCTACAAGAAGTGCACCTTTGCTTTGCAACACTCCAAGTAAAGGGCCCCATCGGTCTGCAGTTGCTTACACCATGCCCTCTGGCGTGTACCTGAAGCTTACAAAAACCTGTCCTGGAAGATGAAATGGTGATATCGCCCCAGAGACTTTGATCTTCTGCCAAGCAGTGACAACTAAGGAGCCCCTTTTCTCCCCTGCTCTCCAAAAACAAGGCCAGTGATACAGAGCAAGGGAGGACATTTCTACTGGAAAGTCAAACCACCATTTAAAAAGAGAGTCAAGCTAGCACTGATATGTACATGTGACAAAGAACAATTAAACAAACCATATAAACCAGCCTAGTGTGACCTCACTTCAAACACCAAGGACAATGAGTTGGGGAACAGGGAATGTCAAGGAAAGGGATGTATAAGGGGCTGGGAGTTTAGCTCAGCAGAAGAGCGCCTGCCTGGCGAGCGCAAGGCCCTGAGTTCGGTCCTCAGCTCTAGGAAAAAAAAAAAAGAGGGATGTATGGATTTCTGTCTGCCAGATGATAAAGGGTTCAAAAGTCTTTATGAAGCCAGGCTCAGGTGGTTCATGCCAGATGATGGTGGCTCACTCTGTAATCATCCGTACTCAAGAGGCTGAGACAAGGAAGGAAAAGTCCATGAGACTCTTCTCTCAAACTACAAAAAACTGGAGCCGGGCGCTGGTGGCTCACGCCTGTAATCCTAGCTACTCAGGAGGCTGAGATCTGAGGATCGCGGTTCAAAGCCAGCACGGGCAGGAGAGACCGTGAGACTCCTATCTCCAATAAACCACAAGAAAACCGGAAGTAGCGCTGTAGCTCAAGTGGTAGAGCGCTTGCCTTGAGCTGAAGAGCTGAGGGACAGCGCCCAGGCCCAGAGTTCAAGCCCCACGACCAACAAAAAACAAAAACAAAAACAAAAAAAACTGGAAAGTGGAGCTGTGGCTCGAGTGGTAGAGCACTAGCCGTGAGCAATAAAGCTCAGGGACAGTGCCCAGACCCTGAGTTCAAACCCCAGATAGCTTATAACTAGAATATAGATGTATCTCTAAATAATGTGAAAACAAATTTATATGTATACAGTCAGCAGAAGTTTGATGATGAATTTTCTTCACCTTCTGAAAATAATAATAATGATAATGATAATAATCTGGGCATTAACAAATCTAATTCTCTTAGAGAAGTCACAAAGATCTTCTCACCAGAAATGCAAATGGTCCAGATAGTGGAACCTGACTCTTGCTGGGAGAGCTATGTTAGTGCCAGTCCATTTGTTTTTCTGAACAACTTTTAAAGTCAGTTCTACCCAATCCTTGAATATGGACGAAAGCCTAGAAATAGAAATGAGGTAGCTAAGGCAAAAGTTAGAAAAACATTTATTTGTAAAGCAGGTATAAACCTAAATTCTACAATAAATCAGTTTCAATACTAACCCCCAAAGCCCAGAACCCTAACTGCAAACAGTACTGCCACTGTTTATCCAAACCAACAGTGACTGTGCACTGCAGTCCTGGGCAGGAACTTGGCTGGAGTTAGACACACCACGAAACCCACAAGTTGGTGAAGTAAAACATCCTCTTGAAGGGTAAAACAAGATGCTTCCAATTCCAAAGGCACAAAGCAGGTTTCAAGGAGCCCAGAGTCTTCCAGAGCCTAGTCAGAGGAGTCTCCACTCTCGTCACCCTGCTCCTCTTCATCACTTGCTTCAGGTTCATCATCCTAAAGGAAAAGGACAATCGAGAATTTTAGGCTATTTCTCTGGGTGACCTCACGAAGCTCCAACATACCTCTCACAGATATGAAACTACTATGTTTTCATCGTTAAAACCAATGATAGCTGGGCAGTGGCTCACGCCTGCAACCCTAGCTACTCAGGAGGCTGACATCTGAGCATTGCAGTTTAAAGCCAGCCCAGTCTATGAGACTCATCTCCAATAAATTACCAAAAAAGCCAGAAGTAGAGCTGTGGCTCAAGTGGTAGAGCACTAGCCTTGAGTAAACAAAGCAGCTCAGGGACAGCACCAAGGCTCTGAGTTCAAGTCCTATGACTGGCAAACAAAACAAAACAAAAAATCATTTATTTGTTGTTAAATGAATTTAATTTCAGGTTTTTTGAAGAGGCACTGAATTTGACCTAGGCCTCAGACTTGCCAGGCACATATTTCTCCACCTGACCCACAACCCTAGCCTGCAACAGTGTCTTGATTAAGTTACTAATTTTGGCCTTGAACTTATATTCTCCTGCAACAACCTCTTGAGTGCTGGGATTACAGGAGTATACCACCAGGCTCTGCTACCTCATTTTTCTTGAATGGTAAGACCACAGAAGGACTGTAGCACTGATTATGAGCTATACTGCAAAATGAACCAAATTTGCCTTAATTTTACTTCTCAGGTTTTGTGTATGTAGGTATCTGTGTGGCTGAGGTCCACGCCTAGGGACACATGCCAGACAATTGCTTTACCACTGAGCTACAGCCTTAGTCCTTATTTTTGGTTTTCTTATAATGCCAGGATTGAACCCAGGGACATTTACACTATGAAAGTGTTTTTATCATCAAAATAAATCCCTAGCAGACATGGTATTTTTCCTTTCTTTTTTGGTAGGAAAGGGTATTGAGCTTGGAGCCTTGTGAGGTGCTCTCTGGCTCTCTTAGCAGAGGTTCTTCTATCTGAACTCAGTATCCAGACCTCATCTGAATTATGGAAAAAATATATAAATTCCCACTTCTATTTACTTGTTTTCTCTTTATTTCTCCCTTGCTCCCTCCCTCCCTCTCTTTTGTAGTCCTGAGCTACATTCCACCTGTTTTTTGTTTTTTGCCAGTCCTGGGGCTTGAACGCAGGGTCTGGGCACTGTCCCTGAGCTGCTTTTTGCTCAAGGCTAGCACTCTACCACTTGAACCACAGCACCACTTCCGGCTTTTTCTGCTTATGTGGTGCTGAGGAATCAAACCCAGGGCCTCATGCATGTGAGGCAAGCACTCTACCACTGAGCCACCTTCCCAGCCCTTTATTTTGTTTTTTTTAATGTGGTTTTGGAGCTTGAACTCTGGGCCTGGGTTTTGTCCCTGAGCTCTTATGCTCAAGACTAGCACTGTACCATTTTGAGCCACAGCTCTGACTTTCTTGCCCAAGCTGGCTTTGAGCTGTGATCCTCAGATCTCAGCCTCTTGAGTAGCTAGGATTACAGGCGTGAGCCACCAGCATCTAGGCTTCCACCTGTTTGGAAGTGACTTTTCAACTCTGTAATATATGTTACAGCTTGAGTTATTCCGAGTGATCACAAGACTGTATAATGTATATTTATATACGGATTTCACAATAGATTGTATGATAGGCCCTAAACACTCGTAGTTGATATGGACAGGTGGAGATGGACATGGAAGTACTTGAGTTACACCTGGCACCCTCTACCAGTTCAAAGTAGCTGGCACAATCAAAGCCGGATGCCTTTTCAGACAAACCTCCATGCTCTGGGAGATGTGGACTGTCCTGTCATCTTCACATTCTGCTGTTAAGATCCTCTGGGAATTCTGGGACAAAATCTCTTCACCCTAAATGTGAAAGGATCAAGACAAATGGTGGGTTGTAAAGATCACATATGCAGACTTGGTAGAGGAAAGTGGAGGAGGAGGGAAGCTGGGGTATTGGGTTTACAGAAAATACAAGGAAGATATTCTAGGCATTCAAAATGTGGAAATGGTTCGTCTTGTCAAGGCAAGTTCATGTTCAACCCCAGCCTGTGAAGCTCATATAATATGCAGTTCTGCAAAAGATCCATTTGAGTCTGTGTATTCTAATATTGCACTAGATTTTACAAGGCCACATTGTTCTGATAAATTTCAGTTAATACTTTATCTGAACCTAAAATTTTCCTAATACTGTAAGTCACACAGGTGCCAATACAGCCAATAACAAATGGCCATGCAGAAGCTAAAGAACAGTATTAATGAAATTGCTTAAGAACATCAATTCTGGATCAGGACTGTTTAGACTCAAAACACTGGCCCCACTCATTACTAAATGGCCTATGTAAGTTAACTTCTAAGTTTCAATTTTTTTCAAGCAAGCAGTAAGATTCTTCATTATAAGGTTGATGTAAAGAAAGGAAATACTCTTTGCGGACTACTCTTTCTACATATAAACTGATAAAACTCTGCTGATGGCTCTTGCCTGCAATCCTAGCCACTCAGATCTAAGTCCTAGCTTAAGACCTGAGGTTCTTGGTTCAAAGCAAATACAAGAGACTCTTATATCCAATTAATGAGCAAAAATCTAGAAGTAGTAGTGTGACTCAAGTGGCAGAGCACAAGCCTTGAGTAAGAAAAGCCAAGTGAAGAATGTAGGACAAGTACAAGCCCTTGTATTGGCACACACAAGCACACACACTAAAATTATAAAATTCAGATACTGCTGGGCATGGTGGCTCACACCTGTAATCCTACTAGCTACTCAGGAGGCTGTGTCTGTAGGACCACAGTTTGAATCCAGTCCAGTCAGGAAAGACTGAAACTCTTAACCTCCAATTAACCAGCAAAAAGCTGGACAAGCTGGACTGGCTCAACTGACAGAGCACAAGTCATGAGCAAGAAACCTTGAGAGCATGAGGCTCTGAGTTCAAGCCCCAGAACAGGGATCTGTGAGATGAGGGGGAGCCTGGAGCCTTGTGGCTAAGGTGGTAGAGTGCCAAGGAATCAAGCCCAGAAAGATCAAGGCTGAGTTTATAAAACAAACTCCCTCAGATATTATACACATGAATGAGAAGGGTGTGGGCCGGAAGTAAAAACGTCAGAACTACAAACTAGTTAATATAAGTGATACAAGATGTCACACAGCTGAGAAACTAGAAATGTTCAGTGGTTAAAATAGTAATTTGGGGGACTGGGAATGTAGCTTAGTGGTAGTGCTTACCTAGCATGCATAAAACCCTGGGTTCCATTCCACAGTACCACATAAACAGAAAGCCTGAAGTGATGCTGTGTCTCAAGTGGTAGAGTGCTAGCCTTGAGAAAAAGAAGCTCAGGACAGAGCCCAGGCCTGAGTTCAAGCCCCAAGACTGGCAAAAAAAAAAAAGAGTAATTTCGGGATATTGGTTTAGGGGAAGCATGCTAAATAACCAAACAAACCTTTGTCCATATAAAGAAATGTCATTATGAGGGGGAGGAGGGAGGCTGGGAAGGGATATGAAGGGTAAACAAAGGAGGAGGCTGCAATGCTTGGTAAGAAATGTACGCATTATCCTGCCCATGTAATTGTAACCCCTCTGTACAGTATGTTCACAAATAAAATAAAATTAAATAAAAAAAAAAAGAAATGTCATTATGAATCTTCTCTGAAGTAGGGCTTGACAGTGACCCTCTGGCAGTAACAAAAGGTGGTTGTGATCTGGCTCCCCAGGACCTGAGCACTTGCTTACGTCTGTGCACCTACTCACCTTCCTTACTGGGGTGGAAGGTGTGGCCTGTGAGCACAGCCCATGTACAAAGTGCCTCTAATTCATGAACCAAACCAACGCACACTTAAGGGGTTTCATTGCGACATTTCTTTTGTTGTTGGTGGTCGTGAGCTTCAACTCGGCCTGAGCACTATCCTGTGCTTTTTTTCCGTTTAAGATTAGCGCTCTACCTCTTTGAGCCACAGCTCCACTTCTGGTTTTCTAGTGGTTAATTGGAGACAAAGAGTCTCATGGACTTTCCTGCCCAGGCTGGCTTTGAACTGAGATCCTCAGATCTCAGCTTCCTCAGTAGCTAAGATTACAAGTCTGAGCCACAGGCACCAAGCTGTGACATTTCTTTACATTCATTCAATATATCCTGATTAAACTCATTCCTTCTACTACTATCCCTTCCTCCCTTCTTCTCCTAAAATTACCTGAACAGGTTTCACTATTCTGTTTTCATATATGCAAATAAACTACTTCACAACATTCAGGCTCAGTCACCCTATCCATCTGCCCTGCCACACCCTCCCTGCAGGGCCTGTTAAAAGGAGTCTTACTGTGAGAACAGGGCTTAAAGAAGTGGAGAGACAGCTGTGAGTCAAAGGCTTACCTGCAAGTCCCGATTTTTGAGATTTCCCAGCCAGAAAGCCTCTCTACAATTATTAAGAACAAGCATGGCTTTGACTCTGCAAACTAACAGCTCCAGTGTTTTTTTGAGCAAAGGCACATGTTTGGTGAGTCTTGTGTCCTGGTGAATCTGAATGGACATAAATACCCTCGTTTAGGTTAATGAGAACACACATTTTCTAAAAGAAACATCTGAATTCCTCACAACTTAAGAGTATATACCTTCCTCTTGGCCCAGAGACAGGTTCCACCAAACAATAGTAGTTTGGAATAGTACTCCAAAAAAAATTCAGCCTAGGGGCTGGGAAGGTGGCTCAGTGGTAGAGCGCTTGCCTTGCATGCATGAGGCCCTGGATTCAATTCCTTAGCACCACATAAGCAAAAAGAAAAAAGCCGGAGTGGCGCTGTGTCTCAAGTGCTAGCCTTGAGCTGAAGAGCTGAGGGACAGCGCCTAGGCCTAGAGTTCAGGCCCCACGACCGGACCCCCCCCCCAAAAAAAAAATTCAGCCTAGCTGGGTACCAGTGGCTCTCACCTGTAATCTAGCTACTTGAAAGGATTGTGGTTTGAAGCTAGGTTGGGTAGAAACATTCACTAGACTCCACCTTCAAAATAACAAAAAGCAGAAACAAACAAGCAAAAGCAAAAACAAAAGGGATGAAGGCATGGCCTAAGTGGGAGTCAACTAACCTAGCAAGAACAAGGCTGAGTTCAGCCCTCACCCCAAAATCCCTAACCCTTCAGTCTCAAAAACATAACACTAACACTTTCTAAGTTCCTCTTTATAACTTCTTATTGACTTATTATCAATGAATCTACCTATCAAGAATGAATATTCGGGCTGGGAAGGTGGCTCAGTGGTAGAGTGCTTGCCTTGCAAGCCTGAGGCCCTGGGTTCGATTCCTCAGCACTACATAAGCAAAAAGAAAAAAGCCGGAAGTGGCGCTGTGGCTCAAGTGGTAGAGCACTAGCCTTGAGCTAAAGAGCTAAGGGACAGTGCCTAGGCCCAGAGTTCAGGCCCCACAACCGGACCCAAAAAAAAAAAAAAAGAATATTCTTGAGACAGTAGAATAATATTAAACAACAGAAAGTAGTTGTGTTTAGCTTGAAAAGTCCTTAAAATTCTATGTCTCAATTTCTAAACTTAGAAGCAGGGGGAAAGCTGAGACTGGGAAGTAGAGTAATGTGAACAGGCTCAGGAAATTCTAAGGTTTGACAGTAAGGACAGAACTCTTAGGATTCTGTGTGCCTTCAGACAGAGGTGACAGTGGTTCACACAATTGTAAGAGTACTTCAAGCATCAAGCCCTTTTGTTACAGATCTAGTTCTTGAGAAGTATGAGGGTGCAGCTGAAAAGCGCTAAGGCAGCTGCATTAAAACACCTCTTGCCTCCAGCAGCCAGTACTTAATGGAAGGTTCATCCACCCGGAGTACTTTACAGCAGGCACACCCAGCAGCATCCTAGAGTCTTCAGTCAAGAAGTGCTTTAGAACCGGTGCGGGTGGCTCATGCCTGTAATCTTACCTACGGAAGGGAGGCAGAAATCTGAAGATAAGGATTTGAAGCCAGCTGATACAGGAGAGTCCATGAAACTTTTATCACCCATCAAAAAAGCCAGAAATGAAGCTGTGGTTCAGATAGTTAGTAGACCACTACTAGCCTTGAGCACAAAAGCTCAAAGACAGCACCCGTGCCCTGAGTTCAAGCCTTAGGACTGGCGCAGGTGCACACACCAACACAAGAAAGGTTGAAAAGGGGGGCTGGGAAAGTGGCTCAGTGGTAGAGCGCTTGCCTTGCATGCATGAGGCCCTGGGTTCAATTCCTCAGCACCACATAAGCAAAAAGAAAAAACCCGGAAGTGGCACTGTGGCTCAAGTGGTAGAGCGCTAGCCTTGAGCTGAAGAGCTGAGGGGCAGCGCCCAGGCCCAGAGTTCAGGCCCCACGACCAGACCCAAAAAAAAAAAAAAAAAGAAAGGTTAAAAAGAAAGTAGTTAGAGCCCATGGGCCTCCCAAGAGCAACTGCAGATTATGCTAGCAGTGGTGTGAGCTGCTCCCTTCTTACCTTAGAATGTCCACAAAGGTGATGAAGTAGCCTTGTGTCCAACTGGAAGGTTTCTAGTAAGCTCAGAACATCATCCTACAAATACAATCCATAAATGTTCTACAGAAATGTTCTATTTTGATTCTAGATGCTAAGACATCCTTGCAACCAAGGGCTCCTAAAAAGGTAAGTGCAGGCTTCAGCCTATGTCAACAGCCATCTTAACTTTGCCTAATAGGAGAGTGGTGGCCAGCTCCTACCTCTTACGCCCCCTGTTCTGTACCTTATGTCAACCTGAAGGTCATAACATTTTTCTTTGGGGCAGGATCAATACTCAGGATGGCCTCAAACTCATAATCCCCTTCTACCTCAGCCTTAGGTTTGCAGTTTTAAAGAGTTATCATGCCTCTGTTTTCCTATCTGCAAATTAGGATAAACGTCACCTTTTTTTTTTTTCTTTCAGGATTAAGTGAAACAAAGTAAGATTGTGGGTATACTACAAATCTCAATTTGCTAAATGTCAGTAGAATTCATGTTTCTATTCTTACTTTATTACTGTAACTCTGGATGTCACTTGGTGTAAAAAATATGAAGACTATTCATTGTAACAAGCGTTTTATAACATTTTTTTTTTTTTTGGTCGGTCGTGGGGCTTGAACTCTGGGCCTGAGTGCTGTCCAGCAGCAATTCAGCTCAAGGCTAGCGCTCTACCACTTGAGCTACAGCGCCGATTCTGGTTTTCTGGTGGTTTATTGGAGATAAGAGTTTCACGGACTTTCCTGCCCAGGCTGGTTTTGAACCGCGATCCTCAGATCTCAGCCTCCTGAGTAGCTAGGATTACAGGCATGAGCCACCAGTGCCCGGCTAAGACAAACTTTCTTTTATTAGTTTATATGTTATACAGATCCTTCTGTTTTATCTTATTGTTAAATCACCATGCATTTCAGCATATTCTCATCAATTTCACCCCTCTATCACACTTCCTACACCCTTCCCTCTGAACTCTACTTTTAAATTTCTCATAGATGACCTAGGAAGCACATGAGGTCTTGGGAGTACAGCAGCACAAGGGACTGATGCTTTCTCTCTCCTCTCTCTCCCTTTCAGTCAGTCTTTCTACCTATCTATCGGTCTGTCTGTCATCTGTCCATTATCTATTAGAGCCCCTACCTTCTGATCAGGGGTGGAGGAAAGGTGAGACTGAAGAGAGTGGTCTGAGGAGGCCAGTTAGTCTACTTTGGAATGCTCACTCCCATGTGGGCAGCTCTGGCTCGAGGTAAACTTGCATTAGATAACTGTGGCCCAGAATATGAGCAATAGATTGTTCCTACCCTCAGTCCAACCCTGGAGTCACCATAGACTTATTGTCTGTGCTTCAGAGCATGCTTTTGCTCCCTGTGTGCAGTTCTTACCCGGTGTTTTCTAAAACTGAAGTCTAGAAGAGGCATACATTGCTTCAGAAATGCTTCTACAAAGAGACGTCCATACTGGAAAAAAGAGACGCACTGGTTTATCTCTGGCTAAAGACATTCATGCACAAAAAAGATGTAGCTGGCTGGGCATCAATAACTCATGCCTGTAATCCTAGCTACTCAGGAGGCTGAGAACTGAGGATCAAGGTTTAAAGCCAGCCCAGGCAGGAAAGTCCCTGAGACACTTATCACCAATTAACCACCAGAAAACCAGAAGTGGTTCTGTGGCTCAAGTAGTAGAGTGCTTGCCTTGAGCTGAAGAGCTCAGGGACAGCACCCAGGCCCAGAGTTCAAGCTCCACAACCAAGAGGAAAAAAAACTAACAACAACAACAAACCCTGCCTTTTGTAGTCATTAACTGTAGTAGGTACTGTTTTCTCTAAAGTACCACCTCTTAGCATGGATCATAGTGGTATGTGGGCAAGGTCTTAAGCAATTCATCTCAGTTGAGGCATTCTCCATAATGAGTCACAGAAAGAAAAATACTGAACACGACCCAAGGAATTTCTTACCTTTAAACATACATGTAGAACAGGACGACTATCAAATACCTAGAGAAGCAAAAGACAAGAAACCAAATTTGAGTCTGGCCATCAAGCACCTCAGTCTCTTCCTACCATGCAAACTATAACTTTGGGTATTGCAGAAAATTCTAAAATGAAGAAGACATGTCAATAGTGTACCTCCAAGAATCTCCAGGTCAATTTTCAGAAAGAAAGAAGCGAGAATAACATTCTAAATTAAAGGGCTAGTCTGCTCAGAAGCCTAGAGTGTAAGAAAGCTTAGCAGAAATGATATGAGTGCACTCCGGACTGGAAATGACAATGGGCTTAAATCGGAGGACTCAGAGCAAAGAGAAAGGGGGATAACTCATGGTAAGTGTGATGGCAAAGGGACAAAGAAGAGAAGGAACAACTGGGTGCTGGTAGCTCATGCCTGTAATGCTAACTATTCAGGAGGGTGAGATCTGAGGATCACAGTTCAAAGCCAGCCCGGGCAGGAAAGTCTGTGAGACTCGTATTTCCAATTAGCCACTAGAAAACTGAAAGTAGCACTGTGGCTCAAAGTGGTAGAGTGCTAGTTTTGAGCTAAAGAGCTCAGAGACAGTGTGAATGCTGAGAGTTCAAGCCCCATGACCAACAAAAATATTAAAAAGAGAGAAGGAATGAGATAGTGGCTATGGGGAAAAATGATACCCAGAATGGGCAGGGCTACAAGGGAAAAAGACCACATGGTCCCAAAGGCTTGTGAGAAGAAAAGCACATTTTGGAGCTAGGACCTTAGTTTCTGCAGTTAGCTTATGAGACAGAGCAGACAATCTCCATATACTCACCTTTATCAGGTTGATGAGGATAGTGAAGTCTCGAACAGCCATGTTCCAGTAGAGGAGCTTCTCTTCATGAATCTGGGGACAGCCAAAGAAAGAAGCAAATACTTCTACTTTATTCTCACTATAATCCTTCCAAAGAGATGTAGCATCTAGTACACTCACAAAATGGTTCTGTATACAGTGTGAAAAAATTAACATACAACAAGGAGGCTTATTTGTTCATTTTGTTAGCTGTATGGGTATTTGAATTTAGGACCTACAGCTTGCTCAGTTAACATTCTACCACTTGAGTCACAACATCCAGTTGTGAGTCCAACCCATGTTTTTTCTGGGAGTGTAGTCTTACAGACTTTGTGTCTAACTAGACTTTGAACTGCAATTCTCAGATCTCAACCTCTTTTTTTTTGGGTCCAGTCGTGGGGCCTGAACTCTGGGCCTGGGCACTGTCCCTCAGCTCTTCAGCTCAAGGCTAGTGCTCTACCACTTGAGCCACAGCACCACTTCTGGCTTTTTGCCTATGTGGTGCTGAGGAATCAAACCCAGGGCCTCATGCATGCAAGGCCAGCACTCTACCACTGGGCCACCTTCCTAGCCCAGATCTCAACCTCTTGTAGCTAGGACTACAGGTGTGAGTCACCAGCATCTTCTGTCTAGGAGTCTTTTCAGTAATACATACAAGTAGTTAAGAGCCTCTGTGCAGCATACCTACTTGCCACGAGATCTCTGTCACATTGTGTGTGTGTGTGTGTGTGTGTGTGTGTGCTATCCCTGTGTGCTAGAATTACAAGGGTGAGCCAGTCCCCGGCCTCTCTGAAATCTTGATTTTGATTCTGTGTTAAGTCCTGTACTCAGCAGGCTACTTCAGATCTGGTTAGCAGGCTGCAAAGGCATGTAGCACTCAAATGGGTTGGCTTACTTCATGCCAGGTGGCAAGTGGAGAACTGGGCAGGAGGAAGGAAAAACAATCCAACTTTCACCTTCCAGTAGATAAAAAGGAAATCAAACCAAGTGCTCTTTGAAAAAACTCCTAGACTTTTGTAACTCAAAGGAAATCATTCAAGACAAACCCTTATCCCAAGAAATGAAAGCATCAACAACTTCAAAGTAATCCACAATGTATTTCTTGTTGGGAAAACATTTGACCCACCTGCTGGGCATCTGCTGCTGTGCCAGCCTGAAGACCTTTCACTGTCTTCTCCAGCTTAGCCATCATCACTCGGAAGAAGATGACAAAGGTGTCTCTAAAAGAGGGGGACAAAGACAGATGCTGGTGACTCACGCTTGTATTTCTAGCTACTCAGAAGGTTGAGACCTGAGGATCATGGTTTGAAGTCAGCCTGGGCAGCAAAGTCTATGAGACTCTTATCTCCAATTAACTACTAAAAAGCAAGAAGTGGGCTAGGCACCAGTGGTTCATGCCTGAAATCCTAGCTACTCAGGAGGCTGAGATCTGAGGACTGCAGTTCAAAGCCAGCCCAGGCAGGAAAGTCTGTGATCCTCTTATGTCCAATAAACAAATCACCAGAAAACTGGAAGAGGTAATGTGGGCTCCAGTGGTAGAGAACTGGCCTTGAGCTGAAGAGCTGAGGGTTAGTGCCCAGGCCCAGAGTTCAAGCCCTACAACAGGAAAAAAAAAAACCAAAAACAAAAGCAGGAAGTGGGGCTATGACTCAAATGATAGAGTGCTAGTCTTAAGCTTTAAAAAAAGCTCAGGGAAAGTGTTCAGGCTCTGAGTTCAAGCCCCAGGACTTGCAAAAAAAAAAAAAAATAAAGTGGACAAATAAGCATGCATACCCATATGACGATGTACTGCCTAGAAAGAACTTCCTAGGAAGAATCCAAGGGACTGAAATAAGTGCTTTCCCCTCTCTGAATGTCCTTCACTGGGGTGTGCTGGCAAAGGGAACAGAAGGGATTCAGAAAGGAGCCCAAGAAGATGATGTCTGAAAAAATGAGTTAACTTTATGAAAGGAGGTGACGGTCTGATGGACTAGAAAGAGTAGAAGACATAAGTTTGCATCCTGGTTCCACATTCATTATCGCCTACATACACTTGAAAATTCTCTTTGTGTCCTTTATTTTCCTTAACAACAAATTCAGGGTAATGATACTGATCTCACAAAATTACTAAAAGATCAAATGAGAAAATATTTGTTAGAAAAGATTTTTGAAGGTGCTGTTTAAACTAGAAAGACTAAACTGGGTGTGGTGGCACATAACTGCAATTTCAGCATTTGGGTACTAAGGATCACGATTCCAGGCCACCTTGAGTTATGCGGCTAGAGTCTATCTTAAAAAATAATCCCCACAAAACTGGGAAGACTCTTTGAGATTAAGAAAACTATGACTGGGCTGGGAAGTTGGCTCAGTGGTAGAGTGTTTGCCTCGCATGCATGAGGCCCTGGGTTCGATTCCTCAGCACCACGTAAGCAAAAAGAATAAAGCCGGAAGTGGCACTGTGGCTCAAGTGGTAGAGTGCTAGCCTTGAGCTGAAGAGCTGAGGGACAGTGCCCAGGCCCAGAAGTTCAGGCCCCACGACCGGACCCAAAAAAAAAAAAAGAAAACTATGACTATTAACAGCCATAACAGATTAAAATATGCACGATTAGCTATATAATGGCTTTGTCCTTTGTTTTCTTTATTTGTGGTACTGAGGATTGAACTCAGGCCTCACCCTTGTGTGCTACCACACTGAGCCACATAATCCAGCCCCAGGTGTGAAGGATGGATGTGCACGTAGAAGGTCAGTGCCTTCCCTTGGATTCTCAGTGAGCATCTGTATCAGAACTAGATGAAGAGAAGGATGGCTATCAGGCCACTACATACATGTGATTATATGCTAGGAAGGAGCAGGTGAGCATTCACTTACCGGGTCAGTGAAGGGAACGTGGAAGAAGATGCACCTTTCGGCGAGTTGATCAGTTCTGGAACTCCAATACCAGCAATCTCTTCTATGGCCTTCAGGACACTGTCTGTGTGCTCTAGATAAATGCTACACAGGGAATCATGTAAAGGAGAATGAACACATGTTACAGAATTCCTAATCCAATTTTCCTTTTTTGAGATGTTGCCAGTTACCAAGCTTTGAGCACTTCTGGTATTTACTTTTATGTAGCTTTTTTTTTCCCCCCCCCAGGGCTGAGGACCAAACCCAGGGCCTTGAGCTGGGCTAAACCCTCAGCCCCTGGTATTTACTTTTAATAATGAAGGTTTTAAATACTTATCAGGGGTTAAGTAAACAAAGCAAGTCTCAATTAGAAATACAATTAGACACCTTGGAAGTTGTGAACATGTCTTAGTTACCACTTATTTGACTACTGAACAGTAAGAAAGTAGCTGGGGGTAGAAAGCACAACTGGAGGATCTACAGATCTGCACATTCCTATGTGAATTTATTTTAAACTGAAACCTACTGCACTACTTTCAAGTTTGACCTAACAAAGGTCATTTGTCACTTGCGGACCACATGAGGGACTGCTGCAGGAGCAAAATGAAAACAAGACCATGTGATGCTCGCTGGAATAAAGCAAACATCTCACCAAAGCACATCATGGAGCTGGTCATTAAAGCCAGAGCTCTTCTCTTCCTCCCCGTGTGGCCAAACCCGACACAGGAACTGTTTGGCCATGGAAGCTGTTGAAAAACAAGACAAAGGCATCTCACTCACATATCAATAGGGGTACTGTAAATAATGTGAAATGACCAGATAACCGAAATATTGCCTTTCAGGGAAGATTTTTTTATTTTTAGGCAAAAGGATTGTTACTTTAAATTTACTAAGAAGTTCTTAGTCTAACAAGCAGATTTTCTGTTTTGTTTTGTCGGTCATGGGGCTTGAATTTCGGCTTGGGTGCTGTCCTGTGCTCTTCAGCTCAAGGTGAGCGCTCTACTGCTTGGGTCACAGCGCCACTTCTGGTTTTCTAGTGGTTTATTGGAGATAAGAATCTTACGGACGGGGCTGGGAAGGTGGCTCAGTGGTAGAGCGCTTGCCTTGCATGCCTGAGGCCCTGGGTTCGATTCCTCAGCACCACATAAGCAAAAAGAAAAGCTGGAAGTGGCGCTGTGGCTCAAGCGGTAGAGTGCTAGCCTTGAGCTGAAGAGCTGAGGGACAGCACCCAGGCCCAGAGTTCAGGCCCCACAACCGGACCCAAAAAAAAAAAAAAAAAAAGAATCTTAAGGACTTTACTGCCCGGGCTGGCTTTGAACTGCAATCCTCAGATCTCAGCCTCCTGTGTAGCTAGGATGACAGGCATGAGCCACCAGCGCCCGGCTTAATAAGCAGTTTTTAAAAAGTGGACACAACTTTGTTGCCTTGTATGTCCCTCCCCCATGGTACGACCCCTGCTTTCACTATATATGATGTTGGTATATGTGGAGGGGAAGGGAAAAAATAAATTGTTAAAACAGGGATACAGGAGGACCCATTGCAACAATGAGATGTACAAGTCGTTATGTCGAAAAACGAACTTTACAACTTTGGTGGGGGGGGGGAGGGGAGGCGGGGAGGATACGAAGGGATGGGAAGGGGAAACAAAGCAGGAAGCTACAATGCTTGATAAGAAATGTGCTCATTATCTTACCCACGTAATTGTAACCCCTCTGTATAGTATTTTTACAATAAAAATTTATTAAAAAAAAAAAAAAGTGGACACAAGCCAGGTGCCGGTGGCTCATGCCTGTAATCCTAGCTACTCAGGAGACTGAGATCTGAGGATCACGGTTCAAAGCCAGCCCGGGCAGGACAGTCTGTGAGACTCATCTCCAATAAACCACTAGAAAACAGGAGGTGGCGCTGTGTCTCAAGTGACAGAGCGGTTGCCTTGAGCCGAAGAGCACAGGGAGAGTGCCCAGGCCCAGAGTTCAAGCCCCCTGACCGACCAAAAAAAAGTAGACACCTTCCTGCTGCAGTGCGCCTTCCAGAAATAAACCCATCAGTCTAAGATGCAACATGTCCTATTCCCTTTAGAAACAACCTGGACAAGTAAACAGACACATAGAAAGGGTGATGGTGGCGACGTATGAAAACCTAACAAGGAAATCTGCTGGGGAATAATGTATTTTAGGGGAAGACAGGCAGGGAGTGTGATGGGAGGGGTGAAGTTAACTGGAATACAGTGTAAAGGTGGAGATGTTAACAATAAAATCCCTCCTGTATAACTAATAAGTCAATTAAAATAAGTAAAAATAAAACAAGTCAGTTGACCTAAATAAAGTCACCCTAAGCAATGTCATAGCTCTTTCTAGGAAAAAAAAAAAGCACAAAATTGCACAAAGCCCCAGGTTTATAATCATGCAATATTAATCCTATTCCTGACTAAAAAAAGAAAAAGAAAAAAGAATGAGGAAAAAAGAAAGGAAGATCGCGGCCTATCACCTATTTTTAATTTCTTCTGAGCAGGAGCTGTAGATTTCTCCAAAAGGACCATCAAAAGTCTGAGGAGATAAAGACCACACTTGAAATTGGGAATGCTGTGATGGAAATTTTGCAAGTAGTTGAAGCTCTGGCTGTAAAGAGACAAGAAACAAAACACAACAGCATTACACGTACTGAAGACATGGTGAAAACCACAGGAGTACCCTACAAAGGTGTGCCATCCTAATCAGAATCCTCATTTTCAAGAGATTAAGTATCTTCGGGCACCTTAGTAGAAAACAATACGGAGGAAGCCAGGACAAAAAGATGTCCTAGAATGTTAGACCTGAATAGTCATGTGCACTAAGAAGCCCAAGACCATGCTGATATGTGCAAGGTACGTGCAGAAAAAATGAAAAATGTTTAAAAGCTGAGTTCAGGGAGGCACCTGTGGCTCCCATTAACCTTGCTCGATAGACTGATATCAGAAGGATTGAGGTTTGGGTCCAGGTTAGGGAGAAAGTTCTCAAGACTATCTCCAAAATAAACAGCACAAAACAGTGTGAGGCATGGCATAAGTGGTAGAACACTACCTAGCAAGCATGAGGCCCTGAGTTCAAACCCAGTAACTCAGTAGGAACAATGTGGAAGGAAATTATCAAACAGGGAAAGTCTACATGTTCTTTTTGTTGTTGTTGTTGTTGTGGGGCCTGAACTCTGGGCCTGGGCACTATCCCTCAGCTCTTCAGCTCAAGACTAGTGCTCTACCACTTGAGCCACAGTGCCACTTCAGGCTTTTTTTCTGCTTATGTGGTGCTGAGGAATTGAACCCAGGGCTTCATGCATGCAAGGCAAGCACTCTATCACTGAACCACCTTCAATCTACCTGTTCTTGAACAGAGGGACTCTAACTTTCTAGGCAGGTATTTTATCACTTAAGCTACACACCCAGCTCTTTATGCTTTTAGTTATTTTTCAAGTAGCGTCTTGTATTTTTATTTCGAGGTCTCTCCTGGAGCATAATCCTCCTACCTATGGGCTCTAGCATAGCTTGAATCACAAGCATGCCCACCAGGCCTAGCTTATGGATGAAGGTGTTGTATCTAGCTAACCGTTTACCCCAGCAGACCTCTAACCTTGATCCTTCCAACCTCCACCTCCTCAGTAGGATGAGCCAGTCCTGGGGCTTCAACTCAGGACCTGAGTGCAGTCCCTGAAGGTTTGCTTTTTTGTTTTTGTTTGTTTGTTTTTGCTTAAGGCTAGCATTGTACCACTTGAGCCACAGAGCCACTTCCAGCTTTTTAGTTCTTAACTGGAGATAAGAATCTCACAGACTTTCCTACCTGGGCTGCTTTTGAACCATAATCTTCAAATCTCAACCTCCCTGGATGAGAGTCCTGGTGCAATGTTACCTATTTTTCTTTCCTTTTTTTTTCTTTTTTCTTTTTTTTGGGGTCCAGTTGTGGGGCCTGAACTCTGGTCCCAGGTGCTGTCCCTCAGCTCTTCAGCTCAAGGCTAGCACTCTACCACTTGAGCCACAGCGCCACTTCCGGCTTTTTTCTTTTTGCTTATGTGGTGCTGAGGAATCGAACCAAGGGCCTCAGGCATGCAAGGCAAGCGCTCTACCACTGAGTCACCATCCCAGCCCCTCTTTTTTTTTTTTTTAAAGGAATGTATCATATATGGTCAGCTTTTAATCCAAGGAAATGATTAACGATAAGGAATTACAATTAGTCCAAATTTGCCATTTAAATAAAACAAGGGGGTTGGGAATATAGCTCAATGGTAGAGCACTTGCTTAGTATGCAAAAGTCCCTAGGATCCCTCCTCAGCACTGAAGGAAAAAACAAAACTTGTTCTATAACATCTGATATGCAACTACAGAACAATTCAGTGATAAACTTTTGTCTAGCATGTGCAAGGACTTGGAGTAAACCCCCCAGCAATGCAAAATAAATCAAAACACTAGTCATTCTTTCCCTAGAGATGACCCATTTCAGTCCACTCTAAGTGTCTATTACCCTAGAAAACTGTGCCATCACTTCAATAAAACAAAACAGAAGCCAACTCTGATTCAAAGGAAGTCCAAGAAATCAAAGTTCCAACTGGGTGCCAATGGCTCACGCTCATATCCTAGCTACTGAAGAAGCTAATATCTGAGGACTGAGGTTTGAAGCCAGCACAGGCAGGAAAGTCCATGAGAGTCTTAACTCCAATTAACTATCAAAAAGCAGAAGTGGAGCCAGACACTGGTGGCTCACACATACAATCCTAGCTACTCAGGAGGCTGAGATCTGAGGATTGTGCTTTAAAGCCAGCCTGTGCAGGAAAGTCTGTGAGACTCTTACTTCTAATTAATCACAGAAAAAGCCAAGTGGTAGAGCACTGGCCTTGAGCAGAAGAAGCTCATGGACTGTCTAGGCCTAGAGTTCAAGCCCCAGTACCAGCAAAAAAACCCAAAAAGCAGAAATGGAGCTCAGGTTCAAGTGGTAAAGTGCTTACTGTAGTAAGATGGAATCCCAAAGTTGTTCTGATTTGCATTTCCTTATTGTCAGGGATGTTGAGTCCTCAATGTGTTTCTTGGCCTTCTTACTTTTGAATAGTTTTATTTTGAGATTAGTCTTGCTATGTTGTCAAGAACAGTCTTAACTCTGTAATTCTCCTGCCTCAACCATTCAAGTAGCTGAGATTGTAGATGCACACACCCACTATTGACTAAAGCAGTCTATTTAAAGTAAAGAAAGGAAGAAACAAGCACCAGCGGCTCACATCTATAATCCTAGTTACTCAGGAGGTTAAGACCTGGAAGATGTAGGTTCAAAGCTAAGGCAGCAAAATAATCAGCTAATCCAGCAAAATGCCAGACTGGAGGTGTGGCTCAAGAGCCAGCTGTGAGCAAAACAGCCAAGCAAGATCAAGGCCCAGATTTATCTCCATCTTTTTTTCCTAGCCATCAGTCTTTCTCATAGACAAGTGGAAGAATACTGGCAATCTCTAATACTTAGCTATTATCTACATACCTAGCTCTGTTGGAAGATAGACTAGACCCTTGGATAATTAATAGGTAACTAAGGGCTGGAATGTGGCTTAGTGGTAGAGTGCTTTGTCTTGCATGCATGAAACCCTGGGTTCAATATCTCAGTAGCACATAAACAGAAAAAGCCAAAAGTGGCACTATGGTTCATGTGGTAGAGTGCTAGCAAGCTCAGGGAAAGCCAGGAGCTGATGGCTCATGCCTGTAACCCTACTCAGGAGGCTGAGATCTGAGGATCGTGGCTCAAAGCTAGCCTGGGCAGGAAAGGCTGTGAAACTCTTATCTCCAATAAACCACCAGAAAACCAGAAGTGGCACTATAGCTCAAGTAGTAGAGCGCTAGCCTTGAGCTGAAGAGCTGAGGGACAGCGCTCAGGCCCAGAGTTCAAGCCCTATGACCGACACAAACAAACAAACAAGAAGCTCAGGGACAGAGGCCAGGCCCGAGTTCAAGCCCCAGGACTGGCAAAAAAAAAGTTGATTAAGAGCTAGGTATAGTAGCACACACCTGCAATCTCAGCACATGGGGGGATGAGGCAGAAAGACTGCAAGCTTGAGGACAGCCTATTCAGTTTGAATCCCTACTTTAACCAAAAATGAAACTTAAGTAGGAGGATAATGTTTTTTATCATCATTACAATTTATAGGCTGATGTATGCATGAATTTATTCAAGATTTTTTTTTAGGGCTTCAAAATTTATCAGAATTCATAAGTGAAAAAGTTCACACAGTAAGAAAAACCTGAAAATATAAACTTCCTTCACATTTCTTGGAAACATACTCTAGGACACAGTTTCACCTACCTGATCAGCTCATCCAACGGGTGATCCCGTTCTATCTGCTTCAGCCGGCTAGCAAGGACCTCAAGGCCTGAGTATAGCAAATTACGATTTCCAGTGTGAAAAAATCCACTCCTAAAAGAGAGTCAAGATAAGGTGGTTAAGAGGTTTTCTTGGCTTTGAGAAGATTATTTGGACAGCATTGGAGGCCTCCAGCCTGTACCAGCAGCAAGTCAACAGGTTTGCAGAGAACTGTTAAGTTTCAAGTATCAAATTCAATCATAGCTCTAAGTCCAAATGTTCCCAAATAGTCTTTCCTTAAAAATCTAACAGCGGGGCTGGGAAGGTGGCTCAGTGGTAGAGGGCTTGCCTTGCATGCCTGAGGCCCTGGGTTCGATTCCCAGCACCACATAAACAAAAAGAAAAAAGCCGGAAGTGGCACTGTGGCTCAAGTGGTAGAGCGCTAGCACAGTGCCCAGGCCCAGAGTTCAGGCCCCACGACCAGACCCAAAAAAAAAAAAAAAAAGAAAAAAAATCTAACAGCACTCAGTGTGTTATTTTCTCATTCCCTACATCTCAAGGATGTCAGTCTTCTGCAAAATCTAAGTCAACATACAGAATTTCTACATCAAAATTCTCTACGGGGAAGGGCTGGGAAGGTGGCTCAAAAGGTGACCAAAAAAAAAAAAATCTCTATGGGCATGTGCTAAAAATAGAAAGTATCCCTTTCTCTACGTTAACAAGTCTTGAAAGTTCTTCTCAAGCCCAGCACTTTAGACAAGGCCTTTTTCCTTGTCACATGAGTAGTTCATGGCAGTATTTTCTAACTAGGTGTGTGTTCCTTTCTAATTCATCTTATATATGTCTACCAAAAAGGTTTTTTCTTTTTTCTTTTTGGTGCTGAACTCAGGGCTTGGGTGCGGTCCCTTTAGCTTTTTCACTCAAGATTGGCACTCTACTGTATTGAAAATGAACTATACAACTTGCAGACGGGGCCAGGAGGGAAAAATCATATGATAGGAGGGAAGGAGTAACAATGTCCCAAAAGAAATGTACTCATTATCTGATTTATGAACCGGTAACCCCCCCCCCCCCCCCCCCCCCCCCCCAGGCGATTACTCGACCACGACCACGACCTCCGAACCCCCCCCCGCACCAAAATCCCCCCCCCCCCGTTTATCACCTTTGTAATAGCAATTTTAAAAATAAATTTTAAAAAAGATTGGCACTTTACCACTTAAGCCCCTTCTCCACTCCCAGCTTTGTGCTGGTTAATTGGAAGTAAGACTCTCATGGACTTTCCTACCCAGCCTGGCTTCAAATTGTAACCCTGTGCCCCACCAAAAAGATTTTTTTTTTTTTGTCGGTCATGGGGCTTGAACTCTGGGCCTGGATGCTGTCCCTCAGCTCTTCAGCTCAAGGCGAACGCTCTACCACTTGAGCTACAGCGCTACTTCCGGTTTTCTAGTGGTTTATTGGAGATAGGAGTCTCACAGTCTTTCCTGCCCAGGCTGGCTTTGAACCGAGATTCTCAGATCTCAGCCTCCTGAGTAGCTAGGATTACAGGCGTGAGCCACTGGCGCTCGGCCCAAAAAGATTTTCTTAAAACACAGATTTTATTGTATTATGGCTGGATGGAGAAAACTCTAAAATTGCTTTTCTACACATTCACATTCTTCTGCCCAACCTTCAAGGCCCAAAAAAACTGAACTTCTAGATCTTTTCCTCATAAAAACTTTCCAAACCACAATGGCACCCACCCTTTTCAACAAATCTATTGTGTGTGTGTGTGTGTGTGTGTGCGCGCGCGCGCCACAGGCTGTGTATGTGTGTGTGTGCCACAGGCCAATACTAGGGCTTAAATTCAGTACTTAACAATTTAGTACTTAACATTCTCACTTAACTCTTGTGCTCAACTGGTGCTCTACCATTGGAGCCACAGCTCTACTTTTTACAGTCCTACTACTGCAGGTGAGTGTATCAGTGGTTTCACCTTCTTGCTGACACTTTTAGTTAGCCATGTTAGTGGGTGTGCTACCCTATCTCATTGTACATTTTATTAATAACTATTAATAATAAACATCATTCTATGTGTTTGTTTAATTGCCATCTGTTTGTTATCTCCTAGATGAAGTATCTATTTTCAATGTTGGGTGTCAGTGGCTCACATTTACAATCCTAGATACTCAGGAGGCTGAGATCTGAGGATTATAATGCAAAGCCATTCTGAGCAGAAGAGTCTACAAGACTATATCCAATTAACCAGCACAAAGCTGAAAATGGAGGCATGGCTCAAGTGGCAGAGTGTTAACCTTGAACAAAATATCTGAGCAAGAGTTGTGAGGCCCTGAGCTTAAGCTTCAGTGCCTGTTCGTATACATGGACACATATACACACAAACCATCTCGTCCAATCACTCATTCCTTTTAAGTACAAAGGACTCAAAAATGACTAGTTAGAGCTTACAATCTAGCAGGAAAGACAAATAAGTAATCATACCAAAATGTGGTTTTAATCATGAGAGACTTAACAGAGTAGTGGAAGGGTTACTGGGAAGAGGGAACAGTTAAATAGTCTATAGGTTAGAGAAAATGCCTGTGAAGAAGTGAAATACAAATTCAAATCTCAAGAAATGAGGTGAATCTGAAAAGATCAAGAAGTGTGGAAATGTGGTGGAAGTATGAGTGTGAATCCTTTCGGCTGAAAGCGAGCTTAGTGACCAAATGATTTCAGTATGGTCCCAGGCAGAGGGAGACAATAGGGGAAAGTCAGACAGTAGGGGCCTAAAAAGCTAGTCAAGAGTATGAACTCAAGAAAAACCTAGTAGTAATCAGAGGGACAAGAAATGAGACTTAGTCCAGGACAGAGATGTTGGCAAGGTAGAATCAGTGGAGAGACGGAGACAGGAACAGATGACTAACTGAATGTCACCTAGAAGACAGAATCAGAAGGGGAAGGGGAAACAGTAAACAGCAGAGAGAAAGTGTCCAGAACATAGCTCCTGGTTTTTTACTCAGACAACTGGGGTTGCCATTTACTGAGCCATGCAGAGCTGGGGAAAGAGATGATACATTCATTTTGGACGAGGTGTTGATGACACATCTAAGTGGGCACTCAGCAGTCAGCTGGATATAAATACCTATAGCTCAGAAGATAAAATTAAGCATACATTTAAGCTTGGGAAAGCTTGCCCTGAAAACCTGTGTAAAGGGATGGATGTGAGAGGACCTATCTCTGAAGACTAGAAGGATTTAAAAGATACACATCCTTATTCTACTTTCTCCAAGATGTGCCTTCCAACTCTCTATCTCCCTACAGTCTATCTACCCTTTAAGGACCTCATCAAGCCTCAGTGCTTATGCAGTGTTCTGAGAAATGCTAGCTGAGAATGTGCTTAACTCTTTACAACATAATTTGAGATTTAATTACAACTTATTTAGAAACAATTCCTTAACTAAAAGCCTCAGCTAGTTGGCAGTGGCATATACCTATAATCCTAGCTAGTCAGGAGGCTGAGATCTGAGGATAACAGTTCAAAGCCAGCCCAGGCAGGAAACTGTGAGACTCTTACTTCCAATTAACCACTAAAAAGCTAGAAATGGAAGTATGGCTCAAGTGGTAGATCACAAGCTTTAAATACAAAAGTTGAACAAGAGTACAAGGCCCTTAGTACCAGCCCCAGAACTAGCAAAAAATAAGAATAAATACATGCTTTTAGTCTTGTTATTTTTTGAAATAAGTTCTCACTATGTCACCCAAACATAGCAGCTGAATCAATACATTCACCTCAGCATCCCAAGTAACTAGTACTACAGATATATCTTACTACATACACTCCCCCCGGTTATTACACAATTCAATAAGACTAAGAAGGGGCTCACTTCTGTAATTCCAGCTATTTAGGAGGCAGAGATTGAGAAGAATGTGGTTCTAGAAAAACCTAGGCCAGCCGGGTGCTGGTGGCTCACGCCTGTAATCCTAGCTACTCAGGAGGCTGAGATCTGAGGATCGAGGTTCAAAGCCAGCCCGGGCAGGAGAGACCGTGAGACTCCTATCTCCAATAAACCACCAGAAAAACCGGAAGTGGCGCTGTAGCTCAAGTGGTAGAGCGCTCGCCTTGAGCTGAAGAGCTGAGGGACAGCACCCAGGCCCAGAGTTCAAGCCCCACGACCGACAAAAAAAAAGAAAAAAGAAAAACCTAGGCCAAAGTCTCTGAAACCCCATCCTACTAATAAGAATCTGGATGCAGTGGCACAAATTTGTCATTCCAACTATGTGAAAAGCATAAATAGGAAGATTGTGATTCAGGCTAACCCAAGGAAAAAGCAAGACCATATCTAAAAAAATAACAAAGCAAAATGGGCTGAGAGCATGGCTCAAGTAGTAGAGTACATGCCCACCAAGCTTGATGCCCTGGTTTCGTTCTTGGTTGCTCATATTGTCAGAAGATTACCACATGAGTTAATAATAATGGCTCCATAAAAGGAAGGGGTGCAAGAGCAAATGTAGAAAAAGCATAGTGACATAAAGTTTCCATATTTTTTTCCTTCTCTCTACCTTAACTGCATACTTAACACTACTTACTTGTACACCTTCCATAAATACTTACCAAGCAAAAAGGCTGTGAAAAATCTGCAGCAGCTTCTGATAACAGGAAGACATTATGTGGGATTCCTGAGTTTTCCCTCCCTGCCTGTCAGCAGCATGAGTCTCAGCAACTGAACACTAAAAAAGAAAGAAGATCTTAAGACAGGTTCTCTAGCAATTACAATTTTCCTTAATTTTTCTCATCAACAACTGAACTCTTATGTTGACTTAGTGATTTCTAAGTCTCTAAGACAGTGAGATAATCTCTGACCTGGAAGTAGTTGTGAATGTTCTCCAAATGGTTACACATTGGGGCCAATAGCTGAACAACACAATGAACAACTTCCTGGGTAGATTTCTGATGGAGATGTGAGAATCCAACATTCCAGCTTCCTTTATTCTACAATAAAATCAGACATATGGGGAAAGAAACTACTGGACAGAGCTCTGCAATCATTAAGGCTGGCGTCTGTAGCTAATGCCTATAGCTACTCAGAAGGCTGAGGTCTGAGGATCATGGTTCAATGCCAGTCTGTGCAAGAAAGTCTGTGAGACTCATCAATTAAAAAAACTGTAAGTTGGGATGGGAAGGTGGCTCAGGGGTAGAGCGCTTGCCTTGCATGCATGAGGCCCTGGGTTCGATTCCCCAGCACCACATAAGCAAAAAGAAAAAAGCCAGAAGCGGTGCTGTGGCTCAAGTGGTAGAGCGCTAGCCTTGAGCTGAAGAGCTGAGGGACAGCGCCCAGGCCCAGAGTTCAGGCCCCACGACCGGACCCAAAAAAAAAACAAAAAACTGTAAGTGGAGCTGTGACTCAAAGTGGTAGAGCACTAGCCTTGAGCAGAAGAACTCAGAGACAGCAACCAGGTCCTGGGTTCAAGCCCCACAGCTGACCAAAAAAAAAAAAAAAATGCATTTAAGGAGTTATGATCCCAGGTATGAGTGGAAGGAGACCTGAGCCACTTGCCTAGTATGCAATTTTTTAGGGGGCGGGGTCAGTCCTGGAGCTTGAACTCAAGACCTAGGCACTGTCCCTAAGCCTTTTTGCTCAAGACTAACACTCTACTACTTTGAGCCACAACACCACTTCTGGTTTTCTAGTGGTTAATTGCAGATAAGAGTCTCAAGGACTTTCCTGCCCTTGATGGCTTTGAACTTCCATCCTCAGATCTCAGCCTTCTGAGTAGCTAGGATTATAAGTATGAGCCACCAGTGCTTAGCTCTTTAGTATGCTATTCTGACAAAAGAATTATCAAGAGAATGGTTTTTGTGGAGTAATAATATTGTTTGATTAAGAAACTTAGGCCCAGGGCTGGGAAGGTGGCTCAGTGGTAGAGCGCTTGCTTTGCATGCATGAGGCCTTGGGATCGATTCCTCAGCACCACATAAGCAGAAAAAGCCAGAAGTGGCACTGCACTGTGGCTCAAGTGGTAGAGTGCTAGCCTTGAGCTGAAGAGCTGAGCGACAGCGGCCAGGCCCAGAGTTCAGGCCCCACGACTGGCAAAAAAAAAAAAAGAAACTTAGGCCCAGCAGGGAACTAGTGGCTCATGCCTGTAATCCTACCTATTCAGAAAGCTGAGATCTGAGGATCGTGATTCAAAGCCAACCTGGGCATGAAAGTCTGTGACACTCTTATCTCCAATAAACCACCAGAAAAGCAGAAGTAGTGCTGTGGCTTAAGTGGTAGACTGGTCACCTTGAGCTGAAGGGCTGAGGGACATTGCCCAGGCTCAGAGTTCAAGCCCCATGACCGACCAAAAAAAAGAAACAGGCCCATCAGAACAAATGGGGTAAACAAAGTATAAAGTAGGTATTCCTCAGCTATGCAGAAAACATAAATAGGAGCACTGTAGTTCAGGCTGAACCAGGAAGTATATAGCGTGACAGGAATGCAGACCAAATAATACAAAGAAAGAACCAAGGAACCAGATGCATTAATGTTCAAATGTCACATTTTACCACTTGTCCCCTACATGCTAGATGTACACATTTATACCTGTTCTATACATCTGAGGCTGTTACCCAGTGACCCAAACACAAAAGGGACAACTTACTCATTACTAACATTTACTTGTTTCCACATCCACTAAGCTCAAGTCCTATTTCTCTGCCTCCACTCACCTTGAAGAAGGGAATTCTCTTGGCAAAAGAAGGTGTCAGCTTATTCTCTAACTTGTAGGAGAGATCTTCTAGTAAGAAAAGCAGCTCAGGAGGCCCAAGTTGCATAACCTCTGTAGCCTGTTTTATGAGGAAAGGGAGATTAAGTCTAAGTGTATTCTACACACTGCAGTGCTGGCACATTTCACATTCTCTCCACTCACCCATGGATGGTAGGTAAAGAACTTGACTACTTTCTTTTGTGGGCTTGACTCAGAACCTCACCCTGGCTAGGCTTTCTTGCATATGGCTGGCAAACTGCCACTTGAGCCATGCCTCCAGTCCAGCATTGTGCTAGTTAACTCGATATAAAGTCTCACACTTCTGCATGGGGTGGCTTTGAACTGAGAATACTACAGGTATCAGTCTCCTGTGTAACCTTTTTTACAGGTATGAGCCACCAGTGCTGAGCAAGAACCTGACTTCTAATGTGAAAGGGAAAAAAATAAAATCTCTCTACTACATATAAAGAATGACTGTTCTGTCAATTTATCAGAAGTCAAAATAAGTTTGCCAGTAATCCCACCTAGTGGGAAACAGAGGCAGGAGAACCACAAGTTTGAGGCCAGTCTAGACAAAAAGGTAATATGATCCTGTTCCAAAAGCAAAATATGCCTATAATCTTGTAAGAATTCATGATATTTCAATTGTTTTTAGTCTGGAGAATCTCTACTTTTCACTAAAATCTCTTTTTAAAAGTTATCTGCAGTTGGCTGGTAGAGTTATTCAAGTGGTAGAGCACTTGTTTAGCATGTACTAGAACAGGCTGAAATCCCATTACCACCCAAAAAAAAAAAAAAAAAAGGTATCTGCTGACTAGCCACAATGTCTCCAGCCTCTCATGCCTGTAATCCTAGCAATTTGGAGAGTCTGATTACAAGTTATCACAGGAGGAGGGTCTGAAGTCTGCCTGGGAAACGTTAGCGAGATCACATCTAAGTGTTAGCTTGAGTTCAGTTTCCAGAGAGGATGTTGGTAAGAAGACTGAGGTTTGAGGCTAGCACTGAACAAATATGGATGACCCTCCTTAAAAAGCTAAAAAAGAAAGCTAAAAAAGAGCTGGGGACACAGCCCAAATGGTAGAGTCCTGAATTCAAACTCTAGCACAGCCCCCCCCCAAAAAAAAGGTATCTTCTAGTCAAGTGTTTAGGCCTGTGCCTATAATCTCAGCTACTTAGGAGGGAAAAGGATCAAAAGATAACGTGTTTGTTTCTAGCCCAGAAGATGTAAAAAAGGAGAGGTAGGACTCTTAACTCTTTCCTTGAGGAAATGTCCTCCACTACCAACTTTGATAGTGTTTACCGATCATTAGTACAGGACCATCCATGAGCAGATATTGTCAAGTGTATTTATTTTTTCTATCAGAATATAACCTATAAAAAGGCAAGCAGAGGGCTGGGAAGGTGGCTCAGTGGTAGAGCGCTTGCCTTGCATGCATGAGGCCCTGGGTTCGATTCCTCAGCACCACATAAGCAAAAAGAAAAAAGCCGGCTGGGAAGGTAGCTCAGTGGTAGAGCGCTTGCCTTGCATGCCTGAGGCCCTGGGTTCAATTCCTCAGCACCACATAAGCAAAAAGAAAAAAGCCGGAAGTAGCGCTGTGGCTCAAGTGGTAGAGTGCTAGCCTTGAGCTGAAGAGCTGAGGGACAGCGCCCAGGCCCAGAGTTCAGGCCCCACGACCAGAACAAAAAAAGAAAAAAGAAAAAAGCCAGAAGTAGCGCTGTGGCTCGAGTGGTAGAGCGCTAGCCTTGAGCTGAAGAGTTGAGGAACAGCGCCCAGGCCCCATGACAGGACCCAAAAAAAAAGGCAAGCAGAGCCAGGTCCCAGTGGCTCACACCTGTAATCCTAGCTAACTCAGGAGGCTGAGATCTGAGGGTCACAGTTCAAAGTCAGCATGGGCAGAAAAGCTCATGAGACTCTTATCTCCAATAAACCACTAGGAAATGGTAAGTGGCGCTGTGGCTCAAGTGATAGAGTGTTTGCCTTGAACTGAAGAGCTCAGGGATTGCACCCAAGCCCAGAGTTCAAGCCTTACAACCGACAAAAAGAACAACAAAAAAAGGCAAGCAGGATAGTTTGTAATACTGCTCTACAAGAGTCTAGATTACTATAAGTGCAAAAAAGACATCTGGGGCTAGAGGTGTGGCTCAGGAGGAGATGGCCTGCATGGCCAGTATGAGGCCCTTAGTTCAAACCCAGTACCACCAAAAACCAAAACAATGGCATCTGTTGGATACTGAAAAATGTCATGAAAAAGTGAAAACAGCATTGACCAACATAAGCTACAATAATGCCCATCATAAAACTAATCTAAGTAGCTTGCTATTTCTAACCTAAAGGATCACACTATTACATTTTATAATGTTTAGCACACTATAACAAGTGTACCACTTACAAACATCAGGATGAAGATGACTACTCCTCTCTCCCACATACACAGGCCTTGGAGTCAAGGACTCACCTGCTTTCTCTACCCCAAGCCTGACCACATGCTGAGCAAGTATTCTACTACTCAGTTATACCCCAGTAGCTAACTTTTTTCAGTCACACTGTTGCTTATGGAGGTATTTCTGTTTTGGGAGGTGGGGGAGCGGGGACGGGACACTGAAGCTTCAGCTCAGGGCCAAGGCTAGCATTCTACTACTTGAGTCACAGCTCCACTTCTAGCTTTTTTGTTATTTAATTGGACATACGAGTCTCATAGACTTTTTGAACTGAGAACCTCAGATTGCAGCTTCCTGAGTAGTAGGATTACAGGCATGACCTACCAGCACCCAGCCCTCCCTCCCGTCATTCCTTTCCTAAAAATAAGAATGGACCTAAGGAACTTTCTGAAATGTTAGACTTTCGGATTACAGTCAGTCACTTACTTCAGTGTGCATGTCAGTATCTAGGATGACCTTTGTCACAAGCCCACAGTGTAGAATAGAGAAGACTTCAATGTCCAGCTCTCGGAAAAAAGCATGGTAATTTTGTAGTGACACTGACTTCTTTCCTTCCATCTCAATGGACTCCTGCTAGGAAAGTAACAGCAATCAAAAGAACAAGTAAGTTTTCTATGTTAATCTAATATTGGGGGGGGGGGGGGGGAGCTAGCCTAGGCTTGAACTCAAGGCCTAGGCAACTGTCTGAGCATTTTTGCTCAGCACTAGCACTCTACCACTTGAGCCACAGCTCCACTTCTAGCTTTTGGTAATTATTTGGAGAAAAGAAGTCTCACAGACTTTGGAGCCTGGGCTGGCTTTGAATGGTGATTCTCAGATCTCAGCCTCCTGAGTAGCAAGGATTACAGGCATGAGCCATCAGTGCTCAGCTGTTAGTCTAATTTTTACAAAGACAGTCCAACTATGCATTCAATTCATGTAAAAAATTTCACTTTTATTACATGGAGATTTCCTTTTTTGTCAGTACTGGGATTTGAATTCAGGGCCTTGTGCCTTCTAGGCATGCATGCTACCACTTGAGCCTTGCTGCCATATTTTTATTCCATCACCATATTTCTTTCACCAAAATCTAGAGCACAATTTAACATGGGAACGTAAATAAAAACTACCACTTGGGGTTCATTTTTATTTAGGGCTGAACAACTAGGCAAACCAAGGCATCAAGGTATGCTTAGAAATTTATGGACTTGCCAGGAACTGGTAGCTCATGCCTGTAATCCTAGTTACTCAGGAGGCTGAAATCTGAGGATCACAGTTCAAAGCCAGCCTGGGCAAGAAAGTCCGTGACACTCTTATCTCTAATAAACCACTAAAAAACCCGAGGTAGCACTGTGACTCAAGTGGTAGAGCACTCCTGTTGAGCTGAAGAGCGCCGCAGGGACAGCGCCCAACCCCAGAGTTCAAGCCTCACGACTGACAAAAGAAAAAAAAAAATATGGACTTAGTAACTAGGAAGATCTGACTTCATATCTGAGTTGAAGCAATTACACATTTTGTGTCTCAGGAAGAATCTCACTTATTCTCTCAGGGAATTGTGTAGATATTAATGCAAATTCTGAGTTTTTAGGAAAATTAGACAAGATGTGTATCTATTGATATATCTATGTCAAGATATGTCTACCAATAGATATCTAGATAGATCATATCTATCTTCTCTAATAGATATTTATCTATACGTAAACAAAACAAAGGTAGCTAAAACAGAATTAGAGGCAGTGTTTAGGAAGTTTCACAAACATGTGAAATAGATCTTGTGAATGATATCGTTTCAGGAATAGGCGACAACAACTAGCTGCAGTTCAAGTTATCTCAATTTATCCAGAAGACTCATCTCCAATGAACCAGCAAAAAGCAAGAAGTAGAGGTGTGGCTCAAGTGGTAAAGTGCCAACCTTGAGAAAAAAAATGTAAAATCATGAGTCTCTGAAGTCAAGCTCAAGTACCAGCCCAAAAACACAATAAATAAACACTCTAGTGGTAGAGTATCTACTTAAGCTCTGAGTTCAAACTCTAGTACTGCTAAAATACAAAGGTAAAAAGATAAAGTAAATAACCAATAAGGCTAAGAATGTGGCTCAAGTGGCAATGTACTTGCCTAGCATACAATATCTAATACCACACACAAAACAATTAAGTAAAATAAATGAAAATAAAAAAGGAGTAATTAGGGGCAGGGAAGGTGGCTCAGTGGTAGAGTGCTTGCCTTGCATGCATGAGGCCCTGGGTTTGATTCCTCAGCACCACATAATCAAAAAGAAAAAAGCCGGATGTGGCGCTGTGGCTCAAGTGGTAGAGTGCTAGCCTTGAGCTGAAGAGCTGAGGGACAGCGCCCAGACCCAGAGTTCAGGCCCCACAACCGGACCCAAAAAAAGAAAAAACAATGATGTGGCAGAGATCAAGTCTGAGACTCTCGTTCAAACTTTGCTGTTAGCAGATTCCACCTGTTTTTCTGCTCCCTAATTATTTGCTTCCTAAAATGCAAGAAATCAAGCTGGCCCTCAGTAGACCTCACTGGCCTTCACACACTTTGACACACACACACACTTTGACACACACACCTTGACACACACACACACACTCTCCAATACCTTGTCTAGGTGGCTTCTACCAGACAGCTCAGGGTCACATTCTGTGTTATCCTCCTTGGAAAGTTTGTCAGGGGACAATACTTTACTGCCATCTGCTTTTCGTTTTATTCCTCCTTGTATTGCATAAAAGGGAAAAATGACTCAAGTAGTTAATAATCCTGTTTTGATAAACACTGCAGCCCTCAGGAAATAAGTTCTTGAAAACTAAATTATAGTAAGCTGGTAAAGAAAAGATTCAAGCACACAAACTGATGCCTTGATACATAATCTGATTAATGACAGAGATAAAGGGAGAAGAACATACTCACCTATCTTTGTTTTTTTCCTGTTTTTTGCTGAAGCAGAAGTGCTATGAGGTATTCCATTCAAAGTTTCCAAGTCAAAATGTGCAAGAGGAGGAACATAGTCTGGAGTGACTGAAATAGAGGGCAAGCAGGCTTGGTATTAACCAAACACACAGACCTAGGATGCAATCACCCAGCTGGCTGAAACTGTTTTCCAAATTACCAACTGAAGCAGTGACTGTATGTGAAGATACACTCAAGTTACTGGACACTATAATGCATAGCAAAACACCTAGAGAAATTAGAAGAATATTATTGTAACCAATGCTGATGAATAAATAAATGACATAAAACAACCAAATAGAAAAAGGACTAAAAATAAACTTACTAACATTAGCCACAGTAGATTGTTTTATTATTATTTTAGATGAAGACTTGTGGGTCCACATTTTCTCCAGGAGATCAGCCAGCATCCACTCCTTTTCTTTCTCCCTCCTCCATTTAATTCATTCAATTTATTTTATGGTACTAAAGGACTGAACTCAAGGCCTCAAATAATTGAGTCATAGTACCATATTATCTCATTTTTGATGTAGAGTCTCCTGACTTCTGCTGGAGTCAGTTTTAAACTGTGATCCTGTTATTATATGTCTTCTTCCTGAATAACTGGGATTGTAGGTGAACCCTATCAGGCCCAGATTTCACGCTAGTTTATATCATATACTAGTACTTGGGTTTGGATTCAGAGTCTCACACTCTCATTTGCTTTTCTTCACTCAAGGGTAGCATTCTACCACTTGAGCTGTACCTTTACCTTTGGATCTTTGCTAGTTAATTTGAGACTAAAGTTTCTTGGATTTTCCTGACTGAGTTCACTTTGAATCCTAATCCTCAGATCTCATGATTATAGGCATGAGCCACTGGGGCAATTATCTCATTGAAGTTCTTTATGCTATTTCAATGCAACTAAAATTTTTAATGTGTACATCCATTTTGTTCCTATTGTGAATATCAAGAGATTTTACTCCTAACAGAAAATAAGCAAAGGGTAATGGTTTGCATCTAATAATCCCAACTACTCAGGAGGCTGAGATCTGAGGATTGTGGTTTGAAGCCAATCTGGGTATACAATTAACCATCAAAAGGCCAAAACTGAAGGTGGGGTTCAAATGGTAGAGTGCCACATATGATTGAAAAAAGTGAGTAAGAGTGAGTGATCCTAAGTTCAGTACAGGCACAGACATAGGCATGGGTATACACATACACGCATATACATACACACTTACATATATACAAAATGCTGAAAAAAATTTTATTCAAGGGCTGGGAATGTGGCTTAGTGATAGAGTGCTTGCCTACCACGCATAAAGCCCTGGGTTAGATTCCTCAGTACCACATAAACAGAAGAAGCCGGAAATGGTGCTGTCACTCAAGTGGTAGAGCATTAGCCTTGAGCAAAAAGCAGCTCAGGGACAGGGCCCAGGCCTGATAAAAGTATTTTTATTCAATTGTACGTATATGTAGAAATGTTACAATGAAAACCCCTTGTCCAATGATGTACATTAATAAAAATAATTGCTGAGACATTAGGGACCTTGAGGACAGCAGATTCTTCATCTTGAAATACTTTTAAATGTTCTGAACCAAGTTCCAGACCAATGTGAGAATAAGAAAGAAGCCTCTTATATGAAGAAGCTTAATTTGTAATCCAGGAGTATATCATGCTCTACTATCAGATCTCTTATTTCCTTCTAACCCTCAAAGAATTACCTGTATCTAAGATAATAATATAACTAGTTGAGGACCTTGGCATTTGGGACTCCTGGCTTTTGCTATGACCTAAAATGAAACTTGAATTTTCTATTGCTGAAATATACCATGTCATTCAATCTCATTTATTGTTGAGACTCCAAGAAAGAAAAATATGTAATTTAAGAGAAAGTTCAAATGTTCTAATCCAACATTTCTATTCTCAGCAAGTTCTTTGTGACCTCAGATGACATAAATTGGGCCCTATCCAAAAAGAAACTATTAGCCAGGTGCTGGTGGCTCATGCCTGTAATCCTGCTACTCAGGAGGCTAGAGGCTGAGATCTGAAGATTGCAGTTTGACACCAGCCAGGCAAGAAAGACCGTGATACTCATCTCCAATTAACTACCAGAAAACAGTAAGTGGAATGTGGCTCAAAATGGTAGAGCACTAGCCTTGAGTGAAAAAGCTCAGGGACAAAGCCCAGTCCCTGAGTTCAAGCCCCAGGAACAATTAAAAAAAAAAAAAAAGGTTACTGAGATGTAACAAGGGAGCATCCAGTAAAGGACCAAATCTGCTGCTGTCCAAAATAGTAAATACGTTCATGAATAAGTATGTGGCTGCCCACCTCCTAGGGACAGGACCTGTCTCAATTGCAGTTTCACCCAAAGCAGTACTTTTTCAGAGCCTTGTCCCTAAGACTTGCCCCCTGATAAGGAAGCAAGATGCAGAGTTAGAATACTGAAGTCATCAATCATTCTGTGATAAACTGGAATTTTCAGTTCTTCTATTTTTACTTTTTCTCATGGCAGGAATAAAGATCTCTTCCTTACAATTAGGAATACAACAACTCACATCAAGTTTATGGAAGCAAAATTCACATACAATTTAATACATACATATTACTTACATGTATTTTAGCTTTTATTAAAATATTATAACTTTTCTTTTAATCAGAGGTGTAGGAGACTGCTACTACTGAATCAGAATTAAAAGCTGATTGGTGTTGGTGTGCATTGGTGGCTCATGCCTATAATCCTAGCTACTCAGGAGGCTGAAATATGAGGATCGAAGTTGGAAGCCAGCCCAGGCAGAAAAGTACCTATGAGATTCTTTTTTTTTTTTTTTTTACCTATGAGATTCTTATCTCCAATAAACTACTCAGAAAAGGCCAGAAGTGGCACTGTGGCTCAAGTGGTAGGGCACTAGCCTTGAGACAAAGAAGTTCAAGGATGGTGCTCAGGCCTTGAATTCAAACCCCAGGAAACACAGACACAGGAACGGATGGGGACACACACACACACCTAAATTCTTTATCTCTTAACATGGACATACTGGGGTTCTCAGGATAGGATACACACACACACACACACACACCTAAATGGGTTCTCAGGATAGGATCTCCACACACACACACACACACACACACA